TAGCTGGGCTGGCCTGGCCTGTTAAGTGGGCTGCGCATGCCCCTGAGTGGCTCAGGAGGGTCAGGTGACTCCGCAGAGTGGGCGCGGAGGCCCCAGCCTGGATCGCCCACCCTCCCAGGCCCCTGGGGGCACCTGCAGCCCACTCCCAGCCGCGCGCAGAGGGGGGGGGGAGGCGGAGGGGGGGAGGCTTCTCAGAAGCGCCCCTGCTTCTTACAGTGCCGTTTTTAATACATGTTCCGCGTACGGATCATGTAAAACAAACGCAAGGATGTAATATTAAAAACAACGATGAGTTCATGCGTAAATTCATTCATACATGAATCATGTATTACAATCTTATATGTTTAAACATCCTATGTATCAGAAGCTGCCCTGTAGACGTCGCGGGCTTTATCTGCAGCCTGTAAGGCCGGCGCCTTCTGAGCAGCAGCCTTCCTCGGAGCAGCCTGCCCCCGTCCCCCCTTACCCCTGCTGTTGCGCGCCGCCAGCACTGATCAGCGCGGGCTGGCCAGACACAGCCCGCCTTGGCATCCAGCTGGACCCTTAGCGGCCTTCGCACCGATCCCAGAGGTCAGCACGGGGGAAGCGGATCCCGAGGGAGACTCTGGGCCTCCTAGGCGGGGTCGGAGTAACCAGGTGGGGTCGGAGGATCGCGCCGCACCGCCGATGCATCGACGATGCGGCTCGATGCGGAGCCCGAGTTTCTCCACCCCGAAGTCGCCGATGCGTCGCCGACGTCTGCGATGCATTGCCGATGCGTCGCCGATGCATCGGCGATGCGGCGCGAGCTTCCGACCCCATCTGCTCGGCCCCCATCTAGGAGGCCTCCACCCCCCCCCGCCCTGGAGGGCGCCTCTGCCAGAGGATCGTCGCGCGAAAAGCCCCCCCCACCCCCACCCCTGCCCTGGAGGTTCGTTTGGTCGAGGCTCGAGGCTCAGCCACTGCCTCTACGTAACCCACTTGCGAGCCAGGGCTGGCCAGACGCAGCCCGCCTTGGCCTCCGCCTTGACCCTCAGCAGCCTTCGCACCGACCCCAGAAGTCGGCATGGGGGTAGCGGATTCTGGAGGAGGAGGAGGAGGCGGGGAGGAGGAGGGAGGGAAAAGGATGAGGTAGGTAGGGAGGGAGGGGAGGGAGGGAGGGAGGGAGGGAGGAGAGGAGGAGGAGGAGGGAGAGGGAGGAGGAGGAGGAGGAGGAGGAGAGGAAGGGGAGGAGGGAGGGGGAGGAGGAGGAGGGAGGGAGGAGGGGAGGGGGGAGGAGGAGGAGGAGGAGGAGGAGGTGGAGGTGGAGGAGGAGGAGGAGGGAGGAGGTGGGAGGAAGGGGGGAGGAGGAGGGATGAGGAGAGGAAGAAGGAGTAAGAAGGAGGAGAGGAGGAGGAGCAGGAGGAGCAGGAGGAGGAGGAGGAGGAGGTGGAGGAGGAGGAGGGGGGAGGGAGGAGGGGAGGAGGAGGGGGAGGAGCCGAGGGAGACTGGCCCTGGACCCGAGGCGGGCCGTCCTCCGGGACGAGCTCGTCACCCCGAGCCGTCCTCTGACGGCCACACTGGGCCCGAGGAGTGCCCCGGGAGCCCGGGAGCCGCGAGCAGACATCGGGAGGACCCGTCTTCCTCGGGTCCCGTGATTCCCCGTGGCGAAAAAGCATCAGGACGGCCTCCCCATCCTCCTCCTCCTCCTCCTCCGCCTCCTCCTCCTCCTCCTCCTTCCTCACCCTCCTGCTCCTCCTCCTCCTCTTCCTCCTCCTCACTCCTCCTCCTCCTCCTCCTCCTCCTCCTCCTTCCCCCTCCTCCTCCCTCCCTCCTCCTCCTCCTCCTCCTCCCTCCCTCCCTCCCTCTCTCTCCCTCCCTCCCTCCTCCTCCTCCTCCTCCTCCTCCTCCTTCTTCCTCAGCACCCGTATTTCCCGTGGCGACAGAATCGCCACCCACCAAGCCACCCCAGACACCCAACCCGAAGGCCCCCGTCTGCCCTCCACACTCCGGGGAGCCCGGAAGCCGCGCACAAACATCAGGACGACCCGTCGTCCTCAGGACCCGGACAGCAGGGCAAACGAAGGGCGTGGACAGACTTTGCGAAGAATTGGACCTGGAGAGACAGACTTTTCTGGAGATCCTCCGGGCCCGCGTGTTGGGAAGCGCTTAGACAAGGCCTGCTGGAACACGCTGTCGGCTCATGCAACTCGCGCAGAGGCTCCCTGCCCGCCGCCGGAACGAGCTTCGGGACTACCCTGTGGCTCTGGCTTCGTGGCGACAGAATCACCAACCGCCACACCACACCAGACCCGACCCGAAGGCCCCCATTTGCCCTCCACACTCCCGGTGGGGGGTGGGGTGGCGGGGAGCATCGAAGCAAAAACATGTGGAGCCCGCAACCCCCCCCGAAACCCAAAACTTGGGCCCCCGGGGTGGGTTGGGGGGGTGGCCTGATGGGTAGTCTTAAGTCGGGCCTGTCCCTCTCCAGGAGGAAGGTTTACAAATAGTGAAACAATTGCCTGGGGACGATTTCTTTTTAGTATTGTTGGACTCTTTGGGGGTACTTGCTTGTTTTTGCTTGTCTTTTATTGTTCGCTCCAAGATCCGCCTGTAGGGGCCCATAGTGTAAAAATCGCCTGGGGGCGTTTTTGTTGGTATTGTTGGACTCTCTGGGGGTATCTGCTTGGGTGTTTTGTTTTTTTTACTGTTATCTCCAAGGTCCCCGCCTGTAGGGGCCCGACCTGAAAGTAGTGGTTCGTAACCTCATTCGTGTTCGTTTGCACTCCTGGGGTTGCACTCATTGGCGGTATTTGCTTAGGTTTTTGGTTTTTCATTCTTCGCTCCAGGGTCCGCCTATAGGGGCCCGACCTGAAAGCAGTCACGGAAAGGGCCCCTCCGGCGCGTCCCTGGGCCAGCGACGTCGGGGTCGAGGCGGGCCCCCGCCGGCGAGCGATAGGGGCGCCTCCTCGACGCACGCGCGCTCCACGGCCCCAGTCCGAGGTACATGATGTTCCAACCTATTTTCAAGTCGGGCCTGTGCCCCCTACAGGGGGATTTTCGATGAAAAGTAGCAGATACTCCAAACATCTTAAAAAGAAATTGTCCAAAGATGGGGCATTCATTGTTTGACAATGTTGGGGCATTTTTGGGTATTTTTATTTTTTGTCGAAACTCCCTCTGTAGGGGGACACGCCCGATATAAACTTAGTTTAGCCTTGATCACCAGAAGGAATTTCGAGCACCAGGAAAGCATCGAAACTGGAGAGCTTTCGCGTGTTGGGCCCTGGGAGGCACTCGCTCGACACCGGTTCGACACTTTTCCGGGTGCTCGAAATTATTTCTGGGATGTGGGCCTTCAGCACGATGGGAACAGCATAATCCAGGATGTTCACGTTTACGCCCTGGGCGTTACGGAGGACGCCCCCCGACCCTCTGTCTGGGAAGCCAGGGTAGGCCAGATTCGGTGGCCACACGCGCACACTACCCCCCCCCCCCGCCCCCACGATTTCTCTCTCGGGGGGGGGGGGGTGCGGGTGTCCACTTCTCTCGGGAGCTCCCGGGCGGAGTGGGCCCCCACCCCGCCCCGTCAGAGAGCGTGGCGTGGGGCAGGGTTCAGCCATGTGGGCACCGAAGCTGGCAGGGCCCAGCCTGGCCTCCGCGGACAGCCCCCCCCCGGGGCCCTGTGCAGCCCTCGCGCCCATCCCAGAGAGAACCGGAACCCCGACGTCGTGATTTTTTGTCCAGGGCGTGAGCCTCGGAGGTCTGGACCCCTTCCCCACCGGCTTTTCTTCCCTCCGAGTCGCTTTTTGGTGCCGGTCCCGGGTCCCAGCGAGGGCTCCCAGGGGCGGAGAATAGCTAAAAACATTTCCCGTGGTGATTTTTTCGTCACGACTCGAGGGGGTCTGGGGAGGGTCCCTCAGGCGTGTGGCAGCACAGCGACTGGGTCGGGGGCCTTGAGACGGGAGTGAGCGCAAACGGGGGTCGGCCAGAGCACAGGATCTTGCAGGATCCTGCAGGGCCAGGGTCGCATCGACCCGGGCTTGGGTGCAGGATCTTGCAGGATCCTTCGCGTGCGCCCAGATTTGGGTACAGGATCTTGCAGGATCCAGCATGGCCCGACTGACCCGGGTCTGGATTGACCCAGGTTTCGAGTTGGGGATCGACTACAGAATCAATTTGTCCCAGAATTCCTTTTCCCTGTCAAATCCATTCTGGTAATTCCAAGAATTTTCGCAGATCCACGAATGGTCGACGCATTTGAGTTGCAGAGCCGACGTGGAAATCCATTTTGGGGTACAACCATTCTGTAGTCGCTTCCCCAGTCGAGGGTTAGAAGATCCCCGACTGGGCGTCGAGGCCCGACTGACCTGGGTCTGGATAGGGGGCCACGTGTGAACCCTACCCCTACCCCGCACGATTTCTGAGCGGGAGGGTGGGGTTCACTTCGTTCGGAGGCTCCCGAGCGAAGTGAACCCCACCCTCCCCCTCAGAAATCGTGGGGGGGGGGTAGGGGCTCAGTGGGCCCCGGAAACGGCAGGGCCGTTTTTCCACCGTTTCCGGCAAAGTGTCCCTTGAAAATGGAAACGGCGAAAAAACGGCGACCGGAACTGGAGCCAGAGCCGGTCAAACAACGGCGACGGCACCGGTGAAAAAACGGCGTCGGACCCGGCAAGAAAACGGCAACACGGAACGGGTCAAAAAGCGGCCCTGTCGTTTCCAGGGCCCACTAAGGGTAGGGGTATAGGGTTCGCATGTGGCCCCCTACTGGATTGACCCGGGTGCGAAGATCCCCGACGTGGCGTGGGCGTCGAGGCGGGGCCCATGTGGGTGAGGCCGTGGCCTCTGGCATCTGGCCCGCCTGGGTAGATGCTCGTGCTGGCGGCCTTCCCAAAAAGAACGCGAAGTCTGGCCCGCCTGGGTAGATGCTCGTGCTGTAGTCGATTCCCCAGTCGAGGGTTCGAAGACCCCCGACGTGGGCGTCGCGGCAGGGCCCCGCCCGCCCTCGAGCGAGGCCCGCCTCGCCCGGCTCGGCGGCGGCGCCGCCCCCGCCGCCACCGGCGCGGCCCGGGGCCCCACGAGCACGGACCGCCGGCCCTTCCTCCTCCTCCTCCTCCTCCTCCTCCTCCTCCTCCTCCTCCTCCTCCTCCTCCTCCTCCTCTGCTCCTCCTCCTCCTCCTCCTCTCCTCCTCCTCCTTCCTCCTCCTCCTCCTCCCTCCTCCTCCTCCTCCTCCTCCTCCTCCCCTGGACGCCCCCGAGGGGGGGGGGGGGGGGGGGCGCGCCCGTGCCGCCGCCGAGCCGCCGCCGCCCGGCCCCCAGGGATCTGGACCTCCGAGGGGGGAGAGGTCGAGGAGGAGGAGGGGGAGGAGAGGGGGAGGAGGAGGGAAGGAGGAGGAGGAGGTAGGAGGAGGAGGGAGAGGAGGAGGAGGAGGAGGAGGAGGAGGAGGGGAGGTCCTCAGGAGGACCTGACGGGTCCTGAGGAGGAGGAGGAGGAGGAGGAGGAGGAGGAGGAGGGCAAGGTACCCACACCGCTACCCTTCCCTCGTGTGAAGTACTTTGTGCCTCCTGGGAGGCCCTCACCGCCACCGATGGATTCGCCTCGCAATCCTCGGGGAGAAGCGGGATCGGTACCTAGCAGTTTCCCCTATCACTGCTGGGTCGTCGCCACCCCCACCCCGGGTTTCATGGCGCCTCTTCTTATTTCAGGCCTCGGTCGATGATTTGCGAACGTCCCTCTTGGACGCCCCCGGGGGGGGGTGGGGGGGCGCTGCAACCGCCGAACCGCCGCCGACCGCACTGGGATCTAGGCCGTTGGGCCGGCCTGACCCCAACATAGTGATACTAGTTGTTCGTCGCCCCCGCCATGGGCGACGCGCGCGCCGCTAAACCTTTTTGTGTGTGCTCCGTGTCGGGCGCTTTGTGACCATACCGCTGAGGGAAAGATGTAGCACAAGACGTGTGTACCGGATGTTCGCGTCGGACGCACGCCTCCGAGGAGGACACATAGGACTAGTATGTCCCTCTGCGTCCCACTGGGCACCGACGAGCGCCCTGGCGTCAACGGCTGACCAGCCCGCAAGACGCAAGACATTTTGCTTAGACGGCTAGCCGCTTCGAACATGCATGTGTGGCTGCGCAAAGACAGCAAGCCAAATGTCAAGCCTCCCACATGGGGCCCGAGTAGATGGGATCGGCGGACCGCGCCGCAGTCGCCGATGTGAGGCAGCTCGATGTGGCGCCCGAATTTCTCCAGGCCGACGTCGCCCCATGCATCGCCGACGTCGCCGATGCATCGTCGATGCATCGACAATGCATCGGCGATGCACTGGCGATCCTCCAACCCCATCTACTCGGGCCCCATCCAGGAGTCCTCTTAGGGGGGGAGCGCCGCTGCCAACGTGGAGCCGGCCCCGACCCCACTGGGGCCGGCGCGGTCGCGGCGGAGGGAATCGGAGGCTGATCGGTGGGATGCCAAGGTGGGGTCTGGGGCTCGGGTTAAGTCGGGCGTGTCCCCCCACAGGGGGATTTGCGACGAAAAATAGAAAATATTCAAAAAATACACCAGAAAGGTCAAGAAATAATCCAAAAATAGTCCCCAGGCTATTTTTTGATTATTTGTTTGATAATTTTTGGTGTATTTTTTTTTAATTTTCGTCGAAAGTCCCCCTGTATGGGGACAGGCCCGATTTAAGGCTATGGTAGTGATTTGTCACGACGGGCGGTGTCTCTGTCGGGGGTGGACAGAGCCTCTAACAGTGACACGTCGATTAGTGAATTGTCCGTTTTCGGTTCTCGAGAGGGCGCCGTGGTCGTTATTTTCCAGGCTTGCGCCCGCCAGGTTTGGGCCTCAGGTCGTTTCACTAAACCACGTTTTGCTAAAGGGGGGTCTTTCCATCCCCGATTCTGGCGAGACTCGGCCGCCAGGGGGGCTCCTGCCGGGCCCTGGGGCTCAGGACGCGACGCCAGCCCCAGGAAGTCGGGGGGTCCCCAAACGAGAAGCCTGCCGGCGGAGGTCCAGGCCCGCGGGGGGGGGGAAACAGGAAGCTCTCGTCGCCGGCGGAGTCGCCGTGGGTCGTCGTCTCGAGGGAGCCCCAAAACGGGGTGGGGACCACACCGTGCGGTGAGTCGGTGGGGATTCGGGGGCACCGCACGGTTTTGGGGCCCGGGTCGTTCTCGGAGGGCGTCTCGGGCGACCTGGGCAGCCGAGATCCCCAGGCCGTGCGGTGACGGGCCGTGGGGTGAGGTCGTGGGGGATTTCGAGGTCACCACACGGTCTGTCACCGCACCGCTTCGGGACTCCAAAGAAAAGGGGTCCAGGCCTCTGGGGGCCCGCGGCACTGAAACAAAAGCACGACGGCGGGGGTCTGGGTCGTCGTCGGCCTGGTTGCAGACATACTTCGGATTCCTGAGCCCCAGCCCGATGCTCAGCAGCGTGGCTGGGGTAGGGCTCCTGTGTGGTCGCCTGCCGAGACATGAACATGCCCACGCCGTGAACAGCAGCGTGGCTGGGGTAGGGCTCCTGTGTGGTCGCCTGCCGAGACATGAACATGCCCACGCCGTGAACAATCCGGACGGGAGGCTTTTGG